ACATGTTACGTGTCAATGACGCGGCAGTTACGATTAGTATATTAGTGAGATTACAGGTTACCGGTTTGTTACCGACAACAAAATTATTAATTATTTAACTAATAAATAATTTTTATATAATATTTTCGATTAAAACTTTATAGATTATCCGCGTGTTACTTGTATATTTTATTAGTAATTTTTTATAGTGAAATTCTAAGCTGTCAGTAATGATTTGTAAATTTTATTTGTTATAAAAATTTTATACGTGATTCATGTTTTACCAATATATTTTACTGTAATTTTTTATTGTAAAATTTTAGATTATTCAAGTATTATTGACAACTAAACTACAAATTATTCAATTAATAAATGACTTCTATATTTTGTTTGTACTTTAAATTTTAAAATATAAGTTTAATTTTGAGAAAATATGTTTAATTGTTGTCATATATTTATTTAAAATTATATTGAATCTAATTATAAAAATAAAAATTTCATACTTATTATAAAATTATGTTAGCATAGCATGTAATTTTTATCCCAATCGAAGTTATCATGACCTAGGTAACACCTAATCAAGCATACACCCGTTGAAGGCCCCTAGAGTGGATGGCCTTCATGTGACGTTTTTCCAGAACCAATGAGAGACTGTAGATGAGTCGATATGTGCAATGATCAAGAGTATCTTCCATGGCGAACAAACTTTATTATTCTTATTACCCTCATCTCTAAAGTTGATCAGAGACTATTAAAGAATTTCGTTCGATAAGCTTATTAACGGTGTTATATAAAATTGTTATTAAACTCATTGCCAATAGACTCAAGCATCTAATATCTTTTTTGGTTGACCCTACCTAAGCTAGCTTTGTAGCCGGCAGGAATATCACGAATAACATTGTTATTGTCTAAAAAGTAGCTACTCTATGTGACATTTGCAGGGAAAAGACAAGTGAATGACCATTAAGGTGGACTTAGAAAAAGCTTATGATTGCATCCGTTGGAAATATGTGGAGGACACTCTGCTTGATGTTAGTCTCCCTCCTAACTTTATCAGAATCATGCAGTGTATCTCCTCTTGTTCCATGCAATTGTCGTAAAATGGCTGTCTCACCCAGAAGTTCTGGCCTACTAGAGGCATTCGATAAGGGGACCTGCTTTCACCTTACATATTTGTGTTATGCATGGAACGACTATCTCATTGCATCAACACATGGGTAAGAAATAGTACGTGGAAGCCAATTCGCCTTAGTAAAAAGGGTTCTGCTCTCTCACACCTCTTCTTTATAGATGACCTAATACTCATTGGGAAAGTCACTGAAGACCAAACTCAAGTTATAAAGGAAGTCTTAGAGGATTTCTGTGCCAGCTCGGGCCACAAGGTGAGTGCGACCAAAACATTTACTTTTTTTTCTCACAATGTTACCATGGGTGATGCTAGCCATCTTAGCAAGATATTTGGGTTTCAAGTCTCCAATAATCTTAACAAGTATTTGGGAGTTCCATTGCTACATGAAAGAGTTAACAAAAATATTTATCATTACATTCTTGAGAAGATTAGCGAAAAGCTATCTGGCTGGAACACTCACTTTATTTCCTTTGCAGGGTGTTTAACTTTGGCCAAGTTCGTCCTCATGACTATCCCTGCTTATACTATGCAAGCCACGGTCTTGCCTAAATCCCTATGCGATCAGATTGAAACAGTGGTCATAAAGTTTATCTGGGGTCAGGGGAGTGACAACCAGAAAACCAGTAATGTCGGTTGGACTGACATGTGCATGCCTTACGACGTTGGGGGGAGTGGACTTCGGTCTATCTACAGGCAAAACTAAGCTTTCCTGATAAAACTGGGTTTTTCTATGGTTGCGAAGTCCGATCTACTATAGGTCCAGGTCCTCACCCACAAGTACAGATGGTCTAACTTATCGCAGAGTTACAAGTCGACAAGCCCAATCTCTCATCTTTGGCGCAACCTTAACCATCATTGGACAGACCTTCGTATTGGCATCAAATGATCAATTGGATCAGGGAGAAATGTTAGGTTTTGGGAAGACTGCTGGTTAGGGGACCGAGGGCCACTTAAGCTTTTGGCTTTCGCACCCATTGCTAAGCATGATCTCTATAGATGTGTCAAGGATTATGTGGTGTCATCCGACTAATGGAACTGGGAGGCCCTGCACCGGGTGTTGCCGATGGACACGTTGCTCTAGATGGTTGCGATACCGACCTCTAAAGATGATATTATCCTGGACTCTTACTTTTAGGGTAGGACGAGCTCTGGATGTTTCTCGGTTAGCTCGGCTTATACCCTCTTAGAGAGTGATCATTGACACCCAGAGGATAGGAATTGGAGAGACATTTGGTGTTGGTCAGGTGTTCAACAGGTGCATACGTTTATCTAGTTATCTACTAATGGGAAGATCTTGACGAATTAGAAAAGATACTGACATCATATGTCCTCTACTACGAAGTGCAGTAGGTTTAGAGACCTTATTGAGGATGTGGATTATGTCTTCTGTAATTGCAGCGTGGCTAAATTGTTGTGGTTGAAGATCATACCTGCTGAAGCCCATTTAATTTTCTTCTATGGTATTGTTAATGAGTAGTTCGTGTTGAACCTCAAAATAACTGGTCCTGGTATAAGACAATTCAGGATTGGAGAGTGACCTTTAACCTTACTTGTTGGAGCTTGTGGAACCACAGAAATAAGTTTGTTTTTCAAGAGAACGAGAGTAGCATTGATGAGCTTGTTAAGTATATGTCTCTAATGACTGATTATACTTTTTTTGTTAATAATATGAATCTTTACTTTTTTTTTCTTTCAGATATGGCACACTAGTCAGAAGAACTTGTAGCTTGACATAAACCTCTCAAGGATTGGTGGAAGGTGAATACTGATGGTACTTATCGTACGGTTGCCAACCTCACCTGCTGTGGCGGACTTATTATGGATGATGATGGTGTCTGTTTGAGAAGCTTTAATAAGAAGATTGGCAAATGTTCTGTGCTTTAGGCCGAACTTTGGGGTGCTCTCGATGGCCTTCTACTTGCTTGACATGCTGGGTTCCATAGTATTATTTTAAAAATGTATAGCGTTTTAACGGTACAGTTACTTACTAAGGAGGATTACAGTACTAATGCGTATGTTGCCTTTATTCATGAGATCAAACACTTGCTATTGTAGGACTGATAGGTCGGGATCCAACATGTCTATTGTGAAAGAAATAGATTCGCTGATTGGTTGTCCTTATTCGTGAGATCAAACACTTGCTATTGTAGGACTGACAGGTCGGGATCCAACATGTCTATTGCGAAGGAAATAGATTCGCTGATTGGTTGACAAATGTTGGCTTCTCTCTACTGATAGACATCCACTATCATGTTCAAGTGTCGAATGATCTCCAAGAGCTATTCACTGACGATATTATGGGTGTTTCTTGTCCCTGAATGTGAATAATGATCTCTTAGTTTTTTTTTTCCTTTTGCCTTTTCTTATACCACAAAAAAAAAAAAACTAAATCGAAAATAGAAATTACAAACTCTCCTTATCTAAGAACAAAAATATACTAATAACACATATATAAATATATTATATAGATATCAATAAATTTTTATAAATTTGATTTTCGTTATATTTTAAGATGTCATTCTGGATTAATTTCGGTTTACCATTTAAAATTATTATTAGTGGATTTAAGTATCTCAAGAGTTGCACATCTATAAAAAGCTTATGAATGGTGTATAAATAAGATGATTTAGGACAACTATTTTTTTCTGACTTCTGCAATTAGGAGTTTTATTTTACTAACAATCGTTGGAAAGGTAATACTTGTGCTTTATCATTTGTCCCATTAAATCTACTCGTTTACTCACATCTATTAGAAAGTGATATTTTTATCTATCATTTAACTTACTAAACTAATTCGTTTCGATAATTTAGAAATGCCTCCCTAAATCTATCTCGAGAGAATTTCCAAGCAGAAAGTGAATGAATCGGAGTCCCCTTCCACCCAACAATCATACTCTTCCCATTCTTCTCCAACGTACAATAACCAGCACAGGCAAACTGTTTGATTATTAACTCAACTTGATACAAAGACGACTCGCTGAGTCCCATCTCCATCATTCTATACCTTGCAAAAAACGCTCTCCACACATCTATTTTCACACTTCTAGCCACCCTTTCGCTGCCTTCCATTGCCACAATCTGTTCGATTCCATTCTTGAATATCAACTCTGTCACCCCTCTCAATTCCAACTCATCCGCCATGCAGGTTTCAAGACAATCAAAGAAGGTGCTGTAGAAGAAAAGACATTCGACGAATCGGCTAACGAACACGGGCGAGTTGTGATTCGCTTCCACTTCGATGACCACCATGATTGATGGGTTGAGATTTCTTATCACCCTCATCAGATTCTCCAAGCAACCGGGTCTCCATCGTGCGGAGTATCAATGGACAGTATACGGCGATGGCTTCGTCGTCTTCGATTTTGAAAAGGGATTCTTTTATCTCCGTCATATCTGGCACGTAAACTGCGTGGAATGAGAACGGTAAGTTCATTGATTTAGCGGTGGTTTTGAGCCTCAGTCCCGTCTCTTCGATTTTCTCTCTGCTTGATTCTACTGCAACAGCAGTTATCTTAAGAAGCTCGATGGGATACTTTTCTTGTTCTACAAGAGCTTGCATCAAAACTGTCCATTGGACTCCAGTCCTGATCTGAAGATCAATCAAATGGAGTTTTCCCGGCGAGCCTACGTTGTCCAACAGAGTTTGTACTCCGGCGAAATGGGTTGCCTGAAGAAATGGGAGTCTCTGGTACAATCTTGCAAATGTGCTGCTAGTGTTCAAGTTTAATCCATGATCAGATTTGTTTTTCCCTTTTGCTCGATCCAATTTCTTTGCTGTGACTCTCCCCGTTTCTTTCTCGATTCGTTCTCGCAGAGCTTCGGCGAAACAGAAAACGATTAGCTCGACAGCGTTGCCGTTAGGTGACGCCGTTAATTCACAGTACGAAAGTAGCTTGCTGGCGCGTTCGAATTGCTGATAACCCGCTTTCTCAGCTGCGGCGAGAAGAAGATGGACGAGCTCCACGTCTTTCATTTCTTCCTTAGAAAAACCCGAGAGAGCATAGCCAAAAGGGTGCATCATAATTGAAAAATCATCGTATCTCAGATCAGAAAATTGGACGTATCGCGCTGATGCTGCTCTGATGATTTCTTCAGTCGACTGCTTTTGGGTACTCCTCTGCTTTGCCGAGACGATTTGGAACTGGTTGGATTTCAATCTCCTCAACCCGTTTCCGTAGCTGTTGAGAAGTTCCAGAGATGACAAACCAGAAGGATGGGTCATTTTGTTAACAGATTCTGCTCGGTGTTCATCAGTCTCCAACTGCTGAAATTCACCAGGTTTAAAAGGGTTTGATCTGGTCTGATGTTGACTTGATTGATCATGCTCGGCTAGATCAAGAAACTGAGGTTTGTTGGGTATGTTTTCCTGGAAAACATTTCCAGATTCCCACGAAAAAGAATGGAAATTTTCCAGGGGTTCTACTCCAATCACGTGCTCTTTCTCCCGATAATCTTTTAACGAATGGCTAGTAGTTTGGGTTGCTCTGAGATCTGATGAAGTGTAAGAGAAGAAGCCGCTTGCCATGCTGAGATGGAAACAGAGAGGAGAATGATTTGCGTCTTATGATGTAGGAGATGTGGCCGTACAAAATCTAAAAAATGATGAGATATGACTTTGCTCCTTATGATATTTTCTATGTTGAGTAGAAGACAATTATCTAAAAAAAAAAAAAATGATAATAATTGTTTGACAGTGAGCAAGTTATAATATTTAATTTAATAAATTTAAAATTTAATCTATTAATATATTAGTAATGGTTATATTGATTAACAAATTATTTTTTGTTTTTTTTTTGTGATAAATAATATTTTTTTTAGTTAGAATACACACAACAAATAAATATCAAATTTGAAACTAATTCTATTAGACTAAACAATGCAAGCGTTGTAGAGGACATGGGTTTATTTGTCTGTGGGCCGGTTTCTCTGTCATGTCTGATGTTGAGGGTTTCCCGGTTTAGACTTTAAAAAATTAAATTAAATCTTATCTAACATGGTTTATACAACTAAACATAATTTGTTTAGTTTTAATTAATTACATCAACTTTTACAATTTAAATTTTTCAATACTAAAAATATATAATTAACTATATTGATTGTGTTTTAATTATGTATAATAAAATAAATTTAAAATTAATAAAAATTATAGTCAGCAAAAAGGAGCCAGATGGAACGTATAAGAATGTTCAGATTTAGATCATGTAGAGGAAAAGGATGGGGATGAGCCCAAAACAATCTGGGTTAGCAACCCATTTAGACGTCTTGGGCTGCATAGTCCAACGAATATCGAGTATATATTTTTTAAGAAAAAAAAATAAAATAATTAGTGTAATACCCAGAATTAATTTTAAATCTTTAAAATTAATGTATAAAATTTAATTTTTTAATTTATGAATTTTTATTTAATGTAAAAATTAGGGAAAAATAGGTGTAGGATGGAATTGAATATAATTTTGTGAAAAATGAGTAAAAATTTAGATTTTGGGGGTGGTTTGGTTTTGAAAGAAAATTCAGAAACTATAGGTCAAAATGCAATTTAGAAAAAATATGCCACGTAGGACCGTACAGTCAACAGCTACGACGAACCGGAGCACGCCGCGTGGCAAGTTACGCTGACGCGGTGCCACGCGGGAGGCCACGCTGGCGATCCGCGTGCCTGCGATCGGACAGTCCAGATTTGTTCATGCGCGCGTGGACGATCCGAATCCGTTCCCTCCTCAAGCGCGATCAAACGCGATGAACGGTCTAAATTTGTTTCCTCTTTAAACACGATCGTACGGTCCAGATCAAATCACGATAAATGGTTCAAATTTATTTTTTATTTGAACACAATCGGACGGTCCAGATCAAACGCGATCGGACGGTCCAGATTAAAAGGAGACGGATATAAATACCTCACTTCACACCAAACTCTAACCCTAGCCGCCAGCTCCCCTCCTCCCCCCACTTTCCCCTACCAAAAAAGAAGAACCAATCACTGGGAAGGGAGCGGATTGCCTTCCCCCACTGCGTCGGAGCCACGTCCGACTGCCAAAAAAGGTAAAAATTCTCTCAGTCACTCGAAATTTGATTTTGAATATCTCCATGGTCAAATCGGAGTAAAAGGACTGGCAGATGAGCCAGAAACCATGAGTAAAGTCCGGTGGCGCCACCGCGAGAAGAATAAAAAATCGCCTTTGATAAGGTTCTTTTCGATTCCCGTTTCGTGCGATTTTTTCACCATTGTATTCATTACTTTGTTTCCCATAGGTTGACCTAAGAAAAATACCCAACTGCGAAGGTGAGTCAGCGGAGCCGCCATATTAGAAGATTTTACCGCCGATAAACTTCTATTTTTCGATTTTTTTCGGCCAACCGATACCCCTTAATGTGTTTTTTCGCAGGGATGAGTACAAAAATAAGTCAAAATTGGCAAAAAATGATTAGTCCGAGGCAAATTGCCGCCACGGACGATGGTGCCGTTGTCGGAGCATAGCTGTGTCACCGTGCCAGAATCCTAAAATTGGCCAAAAATGGTTTCTAACACCGAATTTGAATTTTTTGGGATATTTATAGGTACTTGGAGCGTGTTTTAATCTCCGAATAAAAATTTAGGAAACTTAAGGACCGCCAGTAGGCACAACTGAAAGTTTAGCATTTCGAATATAGATTCGAGTAGGAATCTTTTACCTTATTCTCTATTATGCAATTAAAGTTTAATTATAAATAATACGGTATTTTGCATAATTTAAAAAATATTCATAATTAATTACAAGTTACTAATGGAGTCGGAATCGATTATTTATTACTGTTTGTCATGTTTTAACTGATTGGTTGATTTTACAGTTTTGAATGTATGATAATACACTGAAATTGATATCCTTTCCGGTCCTCTCGTACTAGGAATAGGT